TATCCGGCATTGCTAAACCCTCAGACATACCTCACGTATATTCCTAGGTCTGGATCTGGTATGTCACCCACATAATCCTTTATTAACAGCTACTTATCAGGCCATACAGGACATTCTCTTGCCACTGTACCCAAATACTCTGCTAGTATTGGACCCCACTTGACATCTCATCATCCACTGCCAACCGACTTCAAAATGTGATCAGACCTTGACTGACACCAGCTCAGCCATGAGCTGACACACACTCAGTGGGGATTGTGTAGTACTTGACACCCATCCTTTCACTGCTCCCCTCTGGCATACAGTTATCATCAAACACACTGGACACCACCACCCCTGTGACTACACATCCACTTTAGGTACCAGGTCCAGTTTGACCTCATACCCCACATTAATCGACAGCCATCAGACAATTCTGGGAACTTCTCCCCCTGTCAGGTCTTGCACAATACCTAACAATTAGCATTGACAAACACCCTCCTTCTGCTGAAGACACATCCACACTGCTAGGCATCAGCTTCTACTGGACTCCTTCCTATGCTATACCATGTGCTGGGTCTCAGGCTCTACTGCTAGTTACTGGGCCATGCTGGACATTAACACCTGTCCAAACCACAGTGCATATAAAGTGCTGTGTGTCAGGTTCACTTGAACACCAGGCTCCATCACATGGGACATGCTAGGTACCAGACAATGTTGACACACACCCTCACCCCAATATACACTACTGGCCCAGTGAACACTGGAATTTTAAAGGCTCTGCTAGACACCTCCATCACTGACATAGCAAGTTTCTTGCTATCAGACACTACCACTCTGTGCAGATTTCAGTCATGTGTATTGAAGTATATTGTATGCATATACAATAATTGGCTTCAAGTCTTACCCAAAATAGCACCATTCTGCTGACAACATACACTGCCGGACAGGGGCATGGGTCTAAGCACAGCTGAAAATTAGCAGGGTTATTGTGGAAGCAGGATGGGTGAAGGAAGAGAAACTTATTAGATGAGGCCGTTATCGTGCACAATATCCAGGTTAGGACTGGGGAGTCATGAGGATGTGATACACAGTAGGGCATCCAGGCCTCAGGCAGGTGTGCAGCAAAGCCTGAAACCAAGCAGTGTGTTTCAGGCTATAGTGGCAGGGGTAGGAGTGTCCAGCAGGGCAGTGGTACATGGGGGGGGGGGTTGGCAACAGGACTAGGGGGCAGTAGCCAACAAGGTGCTTCTGCTGCTAGGTGTCCATTACCTACAGCTCATCTCTCTCTCCCTCCTCTCCCCTCTCTTTCTCCTCTCTTGCTCCTCTCTCTCTCCCTTCCTCCCCCTGATTCTCATATACACACACATGTATATATGTACATCTAAGCCACTATACTTATAGGTATATACTTGCCTAGAGACAAAGACTTCCAATACATGAGATTTGACTGGTCCTTCAGCGTATTGCCTCCATTACAGGCAAAGCCACTCCCTCATCAACACACAATACACACACACACACACACACACACACACACACACACACACACACACACTAGTTTAGTTACGTGGCAGGTTCTGTTAGATATACACCTACCTTAGA